TCCCTGGAGGGTCTCGGGGTCCCCCTGGGTCCCTGGAGCCTGTGTGGGTCTGCTGTCCAGGAGGGAGACTGGGCTCCATGGCATCCCACCTGGAGTGAGGGCCGGGCGCCGGGGAAGGCAGCGGCTCTGGTCCATGCACACGTACGGATCCTGAGATGTGCTTTCTGAAGCTATTTGTCAGCTCACCAAGAGACGAAACAACTATTTTAAACATATTAGGAAATTGTATGCTGCAGGGTTTTTTTGAACATTCTTCCTTATCATCGTTGGTCCTGGTAGGAACAGCAACAACACAAATCTCAGTGTTCTTTTCTAGGGCTTCTGGTTGGGGAGAAAGGGTATAAAAAGTTCTAATTTAGACTTATCAAGTAAAAGTAATAAAGTGCCTAATACAGAGTTTGACATTTTCTAGGTACTCAGGATATGCCTCTTCATTAATTCACTCTCCAAATCAAATTTAAGTTTGCAAATAAAGTTATTTAAAAAGAGGAGAAGTACACACTATTATAAAGAATTCCAGTAGGAGTTCATTACAATGGAAGGCCATGGGTTTGGAAATGAAATGGAAAAGTACAGCCAGGAGAGATTAAATTTGAGGCTGTATGGCTGGATTGATTGATTGTTAATTAGAGTAATTATCTAAGAGATAACAGAATTACTTCTTGGTTGATATAATTTGGTCACTGAAGCATCCGAAGTACTCCTACTGCAAGCTGAGTGGTCTAAGGATTTTAGAAAGCAAAATCTCTTGAGGGCCACAAAACTTTTTGAGTGTCTGAAATCTTCCATGCTGGCTCAGGAAAACACAAACCAGAAAATCCTGACACCTGTACACTGGCAGTAGGCCACACGAAGCTCTTCAGAGTTCATACCACGTTTTAAAGAAGGATTTGTGGACATACACTGAAAGGGAAGGTAACTCGCAGTATACTAGTGAAACGTCTAAATTAAGAAAACTCAGGACTAGCCTATTTTAACAACAAGAAATAGCAGAGAATAAGGTGGTAAGACCATCAAAGGAGGCTGATAATGACCCCCAGGTCCTCACTAGCTCCCCTTCAGGGTGGCTGCCCCAAGACACAGGGGAGGCACGGTGTTGGTCCTAGAAAATGAGAGCCCCATCGAGGTTCACAAGCACATGCAAAGAGCCTCTGGATAGGTTTCTCCGATATGTAAATTAAGTAGCCATTACCTATTCAAAGTTGAGAGGAGTATGAATTTTTAGAAATGAAAATAAGTCTATATGGAACACCATTTTCATAGTATTCCCTACATGGTAAGTGAACAGCAGGGCCAATTCCACCATCTTTAACCTACAAATGGAAACCTTAATCCTCTAAAGCAGAGCTGGAGACCATAACCCATGCAGCCGCGTGGTCTACACATGCAGGAATCACCACGCGTTCCCACCCTCACATACCCCCACGCTGACTCAGCCTCAAGGTCCTACCGCTATTACCTTTTAAACGGAGGTCAGATCTCACTGATCCTGACTCATCTAAATGTGCATCAATCTCAGGATCTTTCTGACTCCTCTGCCTGTAAATCACATGCCACAATGCTACCAAAGTCCTCCCTAAACCCTAAATGTGCTCCTCTTGTGCCTTTGCCTAAAATCTTCAAGTGGTACCCTGACATCTTCAGGATAAAGTCTAAGTTCCCAAGCATAGTACACAACAGACCTTAAAATCTCGCCCATCCTACCTAATTTCTTGCTTTCCCCCAAATGTACTATGCTTTTTCTCCTCCCTCCCTCCCTTCCACAAATATTAACGACACACTATTTTAGATCTTTGGCATACATGAATGAACAAAAAGATCCTTGTCTTTGTGAGCTTCATGTTCTTGTGCTAGACAGGCAGAAGGATAGAGAGGCGTACAGATGATGTAGGTAGCGAAATGACAGGTAGATGGACAGATGATGGGTAGGTAGGTAGGAAGATGGATGACTGACAGTGTCAGAGGTGATAACTGCAATGGACATATGTGAATCAGGAGGGGAAGTGTAGGGATTGTACGAGGTGACACTGTGTCGTACCATTTTAACTGGGTGGTCAGAGAAGGCTCACGAAAAGAGTAACCCTTGAGCAGAGACCTATGGAATGGTAACAAGCAATGTATGTATCCGAGGGAAGAACATTCTAGGCAGCAGCAGCCAAGAGCATAAAGGCCCCATAGCAATTATGTGCTTGAGAAACATCCAGAAAACCAGCGTGGTTGCAGAAAGGAGACGATGTGAAAGACAAGACCATGGAATAATGGGAAGCCAGACCACGGACATGGTAGATGCGAATCTTACTCCGAGAGCAGCAGAAACTGCTGGAATACGAGCAGAGGCGTGTCACCAGCTAACCCATGTTTGGGTCACTGGTCTGGCTCTTCCTTTGGACTGTGAGCTCCTTCACCCAAAGCAGGCAGAGCTCCAAGCTCATCCCCAGGTCTGGGGTTCTAACTGGAAAGACAGACTCCAAGTGCAGCAGGTGTTCCCATGTCTGCTGCCCTGTGGGGATGCTACCTGACACGAACGGAGATTCTGAAGTAGGGCTCCAGGTGGGCTGGACCGAGACAGGTGTGATTTTCTTCTAAGAGGGCATTGTTGCAGGTTCTCGTACTCTCCTTCAGCACCCTCCACCCACACTTCTCTCCCACATCTACTCCTCCACTCTCCAAGATGGGAGGCAGCCTGCAAGGGTGAATGGAGATGCATCTGAGGCCAAGACAGCACCATTTCCTACTTTGTTAACAGCTCTCAGACTTAACTTGAAAAGAAAAATGGTGAGGCAACCAGCACCTGGCCTGTCTCCTAAAACAGCCAGGAGGATTTGGAAAATATGCCTTAGCAAAGGCCAGGAAAACATCAGGGTTTATCAGCCCCACCCTTCATCATTAGGAAAGACAGGTAATGGAGGAAACAGACTGTGTTAGGTCTTAGTTTCCATCTAAATTTTAAAAAAATTTAACACAGAAAGAGCTTAGAACAAGACACGAGTTACAAACTTCTGTGTGGTAAGAAGTCAGATAATAGAGCCAGACAAAGCTAGATTTGCATCCTGTTTTGATGAGGTACTCACTGTGTTATCATTAACAACCACACACCTCCCTGAACTTTGTTTCTCATCTATAAAATGGAAAAAACATCACCTGGCTGGTTTCTGTGAGAACTGAAGATACTGGTGATCATACATGTGTGTGCCTGCATGTCTGCATGTGTCTACATGTATTTGCACATCTACATCTGTGTGTGTTGGTGTCCATACGTGTGTCTACATGTGCATGTCTACCTGTGTGTCTGCATGTCTACGTATCTAGGTCCACATACGTATCTGTGTCTACATGTGTGTGTTTACATGTCTCTGGGTCTACATGTGTGCCTACACACCTTTGTATATATCTGCATGCATGTGTCTGTGTCCACATGTGTATCCACATGCGTGTCTACCATACGGGGGCTGTGTGTGCATGGATGTGTGTTTACATGTGTGTCTACTGTACATGTGAGTTTGTGTCTGTCTGCATGCGTCACTACCTGTGTGTCTACGGTATGTGTGATTCTGGATGTCTACATGTGTCTATACTTGCATCTGCTGTATGTGTGACTACGTGTGTACATACATAAAATACTAACATGGTAGTATCCGGACAAGTGAGGTAATTGAAGCATTTCACAGTAAGTTGACAGCACCTGTGTGCATGCCTCTACCCGCCTAACTATTTGAAAGAGGCCTCTCAGACACCTGAAAGGGGATGGGCTCCTGAGACATGCTGGGTGCTCTAATATCTCTGGAAAACAGAAGGTGGAGTTGAGAACAAGCTCCTGCTTCATTCCATCCCCACACTGTCCCCACATCAAGGCATCTGGGGAGGAGGGGGGGGTCAAGGGCAGCACTCAGCCTTCACTCTCATTCCCCAGATGACGACCCTGATGCTGTAAGGTCTGCCCTACCCCTCCCTCCCTCCTAGGAAGGAGCCCAGCCAGGAAGTCAGGCAGACAGCTCCTTACTGGAAAGGGTGGGGGGTTTGTCTTGTCACCCCACTAATGGAAGGAGCCATGAAACAGAACCAAGAGCATGGTCGATCCGCCCAGCCCTGGTGTCAACTGCCTGAGCTGCCTCATCCCACAGCCTCTGCTTCCTCTTCCGCAACACAAAGGAGCGGTAAGTACTTCACCTGTTTGTTGTAAAAACCAAGTGGGATAGTACTTGTGAAAGTGCTCTGCAAAATATAAAGTGAAGTGTTAATCTTTTGTCATCATTAGCAATCCACATCCACCCTGAACTGAAGTCCCAGCAACAACACTTACTAATGATTTTCCTTAAAAACTGTAGTTAGGGAAGCAGGAAAAAGCAACTTTAATGTAGATGTTGGAAAAAAATCTCTCAAAATGTAATTAAAATATTAATCACAAGTGTTCTGATGAGAGAAATTAATGGAATGAAATTAATGATAGAAATTTAAGCCAACCAAACCTGGGTGATGACTACAATAGAAAAAAGGTTACCAAGACAGCGTTCTTGTACACAGCACCATAAAACACCAAGGAAAGAAAAAAACACAGGAAAGTTTAAAGATTTTCTTTTTTAAAAACTACTTGAAAAACAGAAATCCTGGGCTTAAAAGAGAAGGAGAAAAATTATACTAGCAACCAAGAAAATACAAAGTAAAACCAAACTGCTGAATAATAACACCTAAAAAAAAGCAAAATTTGGCTCATGAGAGATTACTGTTTAATTGTTACGAAGTTCTAAATAGCAGACACTATCTTTAAAAATGTGAAAAGAGTTACTGTTTACTGAGTTTTAATGTGAACCCCTGAGGGTATATTTGTTTAGGAGGCAGGATGTCATTACCTGTGATCACACAACCAACCAAAGGACATTCAAACGTCCCACACTCCTGCCTCACACCCATGCAGCTGCTGCAGACATGCACCTGCCCGTCCACTTCACCATCACAATCACAGACTGGGAGATCAGTGACCTCACGACCCCTTGGTGCCTTACCTGACCGATAACGCTCATCTCGTGACCCTGAGGACCTTCGGCGGTGATAGCGAGTGGAAGAAGCAGGAGTGACGGGAGCCCGGCGCTCGGGAGGCAACGCTTGATCCACCCCTGGGTTAAGGGAAACAGCAAAGTAAGGTAAGGCTTTACTTGGCAGCCAGAGTTCATTCATTTGGTAAAATCATTTGGTAGAATGAAGCCCTGACTCACCACATGCCCGCAGCCAAGCTAGAGCACACAAGGGCGTGGACCGGGGCCAGGGGACGTCATGGACACTGAACAGGAAAGGGAGAAGTGTCCCAGGCAGGGGAAGACTCACGCCCAACACTACCCTTTAGAGACCCCAGCACAGGCTCCCTTATATCACACACGTCTAGAACAGGCATAAGAAAAATGGAGCCCAAAGAATCAAGTTATGATCTTCTTTATATAACAAACATATAGAAAGGGTTATGTTCATTCTCGAGGAAATTTAAAATTACATTTACCATTAAGGTTACCTTTACAATAAATCTCATAGGATCTCTTAACGCTACAATTCAGGTAACCAGCACTGGGCATAAATGTTCATCTTTGTTCATTCAAAATTTCTAACTCTGAAATCTTACTCCCCTCGATGTGAAATAACTGAAAAATTTCTATTTCCATATGGCCATGACGAATTACCTGAAAGGATGAAATGGTCAGATAAAACTAATTTGACAGGTATTTGTCAGAAGCTGACCTAGATCTGGTGATCACAATACCGATTACACTTGGGAACTCGAGCAGCAGGAAGCACCATCTCTATAAAACTAAGTACAGCAGGAAAGGTTTCAACATTACAGTGCAGAAGTAAAGAAATTCGGAGCACTGGGCATCAAACATTAACTGCTGAGTCTTCAGAAGAGGACCAGCAATACTTGGTAGAGAAAGTAAACCAGTGATGGCTATTTTAACAGAAACTGTTTAGGTTTTCTGTGATGGCCCCATGAGGGTTATTTATATCACAGGTGTAGTATTTCTCTTGTGCTAGTGATTTCTACACCTCAGTTCTTTTTTTTTAAGCAGGCTCCATGCTCAGTGTGAGGCTTGAACTCACGACCCTGAGATCAACAGTTGCCCGCTCCACCGACTGAGCCAGCCAGGCACCCGCCGCACCTCAGCTCCGGCTGACATGTTTGTGGTTAATGACATGATAGGTTAGCTAATTGCAGATTAATTGCATTTGGTTAACTGCATTAGAATTGTGCAGGAGACAGCCATGCCACAGTCACGCGGCGAGCTCCTGCAAGCGCTCCATCCAGCAGGTACACCAACATACATCATTAAACTTCTTGATGACACAGCAGCTCACAGCTGCCAAACCCTGTCCAGTTATAGTCTGCAAATGATCTTTAAAAAAAACTACTGTATTTCATCAAACAGATGCACAGAATTTATGAAATCAAGGAGTACTATTAAGTCATAATGACAAGTGGTGGTCATTTGGTGTTTTTATTCGTGTTTGTAAACATGAGCTTATGATCCCTTTTCATTGCCCGTTTTAGACAACACATGACTTCTTTACAGAAGTGTGACCCTCACTGCACCACAGTTAGATCATGAGTCAGTAGTGTGCTGTGAACACCCTTCTATCTTAGACTTTTTTATTATTCCTGGGTTAATATTTGAATCTTTTGATTCCATCATCTTGGTTTTCAATGGACCTCTTGCTAATTCCTTCAAAATATCCCAACAGAACCGAAACCCTTTCCAACACTTTCTCCCCTATGGGCAATCACCAACAACTTGGGGACAGTCTTCTAGTTCGGTATTCTTTTTCCCTGAAGACCCTCCTTGTGGATCCCCTCCTGCTCTAATCCGGGCTGGCTGGTCCAGACCTGCTGTACAACCACCACAGAGCATCCCTTCCTCCTGGAACTTGGCTTTTGCCCAGACATCTAAGCAAAATTACAGATAAATTTGAAGTTTGGAAAATGTGTATAAATCTATTTATTTGGAAGTTACATGCATTCATGGCTTCTCATGCCAATTACTGGTGAGAAGTCAAATGTCATTCTGATGGTATACTGTTCATGAAAAATCTGTTTATTGTTTTCTTTTCTCCCCTGTCAACTTTCACAATTTTTACTTTACTCCCACCGAAGGAGCTGCGAGTCTGTCCTCCTCCTGTGGCGGGGTTATCACCAGACCTACCGCCAGCAAGCAGATGTTTTACCTGAGCTGTTGCATTTACCTGCAGAAGAGACCTCTGGTCTCCTGTGAATCATTCGGGGCTGGAGCTTTTCTCACTCTCTGGGGCACATGCTCAGATTCAGTACCTTGTAACCCAAATCCTGAGGTTTTCAGGTCCGTTTCTCCAGAGAACAAACATCTCTGGGGAGTGGGGAAGACGTGGGTTGCCTGCTTCCTTGATGCCAAGCCTCATCGTCTCCCTCTGGTGCCTGTGAGAGTGGCACCACCTGCGACATGTGGCACCCCCATCATCGACCCCAATACCACAAAAACTTGCCACTGTCTCTCCCAGCCGTCCGTCCTGTGCACTGACACTTCACCCACTCAGAGACGCATCTTGGTGCGGTTCTGGGAAGAAGCAGAGCTAAATGTGCACGTTCAAGCTGCCAAGGTCTAGCAGATTTATACATACAGCTAAGTCTGGCTTCCACCTCAGTCCTACTACAGACCTCGGGAATTCCATTAACCCTAACCCCTCGTGGGTCCCCTGTGGCCGTGCACCTCTGGGAAACACAGGCGTGGCGCACAGACCGGGGACCTGCCGCCGGTCCTCAGCTAATTTTGCACACAAACACTGGACGTTTACCTTCATAGGCTGAAGTACACAGCTTACAACACAAGTTTTAAGAGAAATGGTTAACTAACAGAAGGAGAATACCTTCAACAGCTCACCGGCAACAGGGCATTTTAAAAAGCTAAAATATTGGTGTGCACATTTCTGTCATTAGTTTTTATCTGCCCTCACTGTGAATGAAATCTGAAGTAGCTTAAAGTATGTTCTGACAAGGAAAAGCCCTCCGTCAAATATGCAGCAACTCCAGATTAGAATTTCCCACCTGTCCGCACAGGGGGACCCCGAGGCAATGAGTGAGGGGTCCTTCCGTCGTGTTTAAGGTAGCACGTGCACACACATCTTTACTAGAACACACAGAGCTCAGGATGCAGGACGCCGAGGCCCCAGGCTCCTGCCATGACTGAAAACCAGCTCTTGGGACCCCTGGAACATGGGCAACAGAATGTGGGGACCGGGTCTGAGCGAGGACACTAGAAGGCCAGGGGTCTTGAGGGAGGTGAGGAGCCCTCCAAAACCACACAAAGCCAGTGGGCAAAGATTAATCCTTCTCAGGCAAACACATGGCGGGGATGGAGAGTGGCCCTCCGTCCCACACTTACGAAGCACCACATGGCAGAGACGCAGCTTCGGGTCCCACGTGAATGGAGGGACAGGGCACCAGGGACACGTCGTGCTCTCAAGCCCGGCTACCCTGAGCCTCAGTTTCCCGTCTGTACACAGCCCTGCCATTCTAAGTAGCATCTGAATGTTCACGGGTAGCTGCCCCTTCCCTTGAGATGGGCGCTCCCTCCCGGGGCTCCCAGGTGCGCTGGGGGCTCGGTCCTCGGGGCAGAGGTCATGGGCTGCTGGGCTCTGCACACTGGGGCAGTGACACTGTCACACAGGCAAGTCTACCTGGTCCCTGGAAGAGAAGCAGCCTCGTGATCTCGCTGCCAAACGACTCGTCCCCCAGTGACCTTCCCAGGACAGACTGCTGCCCAGGAACGAAGTCAGGGCAGCTAACAGCTGTGAGGTCGGCGGACAATGACGTGTTCCTCGGATTCTCACCCGGGAGCCGGGACGTCTATCTGCTCATCCCCTCCCCAGGCAACACTGCCCCGGCCCACGGGAGGAGCTCGGGGAGGGCTCCTGAACCAACACGGCCGGTCTTCACAGCGTGCGCTGGGCCTTGCGAGGCTCCCGCCAGGCGTCAGTTCAAACATGGCCTTCAGTGAGAGTTCTCTTTCCCTCGAGAACCACAAAGGGGCTCAAGAGGAAGGAACCCGAGGAGCCCAAGAGGAAAGAGGAAGGTGGCCAGGCAGGGAGACAGTAACCAAGCCCAGGACCCCGGCCCTCTGCCAGAGACGTCCTTGGACAGCCACACGCGAGTCCGTTCCAATTGCTTCCAACACATGACGAAGAAAGGACTCTGCAAAGGAAATCCCTAACAACACAGTGCTGTCCCCTGAGCACCCCACCAATTCCAGTACCAGACACTGGAAACCATGACAGTCCTCACATACACCCAGGAATGTGGCCACAGGGGCTCTGTGGCTCTGACATGCTGTGTGCTTCGGGCCAGGACACCTGCCGTGTAGACCACCCTGGCTCATCCGGGTATCAAATGTTCTAGAAAACATCAAGACTTCTAAATTCAGAGAGCAAGGGAAATACATAAGAACGCTGTGGTTTTCCACATAGTTTCAAGAGATCACGAAGGATTTGTGGAAGATGACTTCAGTAAAAATGCATATGGGATTCAAAACTAGAAGACCTTGATCCAATTTCTGGTCTTATTCTTAGTCCGCGTGGAACTGGGCAAATGTCTCAGGCGCTACCTCAGCTTCCGTGTACATTGGGGAGTAGACATGGACATAGTCACACGTGAGTGACGTCCCCTCGGGCCCTTGCTGGAACCCAAGCCTCTCTGGTCCTGTCCCCTGTCGCGTTCAGCGCCCGTGGATCCCAGGGCCCAGCAGGACTCACAGCCTCCCTGGGGCTCCTACACACGTGGATCCAGCTTCAGGAACCTGGTGAAATTGCGGAGGGCTCTTCCATGTTTCAAGTCTACACAAAAACGATTTCTGAATTGTCCCCTTCTCCTCTAGTACCTAATTAACTCTCACATAGCGGCACTTACTTCTAAAATAAGTGCAATCAAGCCTTTGCAGAAGATACGCAGTACCGTCATTACGTAAGATGAGAACCTTACTACGTTTGCTCTGTATGGACTCAGATGAGAACACAGCACAGAAAAAAATTCCATCACCTCCACAGCTGCCCCAACCGTCAGCCTGATTCTTGTTTCTGCCTCTCATAACCGAAGTTCTTGCTGAAAATCAGTGCAAATTTGCTAACCATAGTCCTGTCAATATACTGTAGTTTGATTAGAGACTCATTTTGTGGAAAAGTGCAGAAGATCTGGAACTTTAGAGAGCTTGACGTGCACCAATGCTCGCTCTTTCCTCACCGAGTAACAACAGAAGCTCAGAAGGGAATGAGTGCACGAGGTCAGGAGCGGGGCTGCAAATGTCTGCGTTTTTCAGATGTCCACACGAGCCAGTTCCAAAGCAGACGTCTTTCTCGCTGCCCAGGTGGACACTCAGACCCCACTACCGGCTCTGCTCAGGCTGCAGAAGCTTGCACAGGAGGAGGCTTCTCGGCTCCCATCACCCCCGGTATGGGGAAGCAGGAACTCGGCTGGTAGGACACCACTAAGAATAACGGGAAATCCATCTGACCAAACCCACAGCTGCGTGTGCTAGAACAAGAGCTCAGCCAATGAGAGGAGCAAACTGTGTACCGAGATCATGACCGTGGGTGGCTCACCTAGGACATGGGTGTTTCACCTCTCGCTGAGGAAGGCTCAGCTCCCACAGCAAGTCCATCTGGAAAGGATTCACACCAAGTCATAGACCGGCAACCTGATTTAAAGACCCGTTTTCTCTTCTGGGGTTTAAGCTTGCACCTGACACCCCGTCCGTCATGAACAGACAGCATGGCGTGACCCCTCAGTGGGGGTGGTCCCCAAGGAACCTGTCCCTCAAGCCCTGGTGGGGATGGGCCAACGTGGCTTCCGGGCCCAGGACTGCACTCTGGGAGACCCTAACTCCTGCTGCAGAATGAAGACACGGACCCGGTGTGCAGCGGGCACCGGAGGAGCAGAGACCCGGCCAGCGGCAGCTCAGGAGGCCACGGCACCCGCACACTTTCTTCTCTGAGTCTCAAATGGCACCTGACTGCAGTTTGCACCCTTAAACACAAGCCAAGAACATGCCTCATCATCCAGGAGACCAGGAAGGGCACAATTCACAAGCTCTGAACTCTGTCCCTTGCAGGAGACTCCTTCACAAACCTGGGGACCCAGCAGGAGCCTTGGCAGCTGGGCTTCAGATGCTGCCGCCTCTGTACGGGCCTGTCCCAGGTAAAACGACTTCAGGACAGTGTGTCTGCAGTTAGAGCACCGAACACCAGGGGATGCGGAGCTAAAATCCAGGATTAATGATCATAAAATACAATTCAGTTGACTAGAATGTGCAGAGGCCCCAAATCGTGTTCTCCTTTAACCTCTCAGATACGGGAACAGTGAGGAGCACTATGTGTCACCATCTACAAGTATCCAGATCGGAAATCAAAACAAAGCTGTGCTCACGGTGGAGATGACTCCAGCACCAAGGGGTCCGTCTGCCTGGATGCTCGGGGCATGACACAGAGCTGAGCACCGCGCGGACATGATGGCTCGGCCCTCGGCGGGGCCGGCTCTGAGTGCTCCCTACTCCACCAGAGCCCGTGAGCAACAGCACCTGCTGGACACACTGGCCTGGTGCCCACGTGGGGGCTGTGGCCAGGAGGACGCAGGGCAGGGCCCTACCTGCCACCAGCAGGGATTTGACAGGGCATCCACACCCTAGCAGCCGGTCTGTAACGTGCAGATGGTTACTGGTTCATCCTTCCGCAAATATCTGGAAGCGCCTACCTCCTTGGGGAGAAGTGGGAAGTTGTGAGGAGCGGGACCAGAGGGCCTGTCCTAACCCCAGGGACCCTTGCAGAAGTGACACTGGAGCTGGGCTTCGAACCACGCGCTGGTGCAGAGAGAAGGCAAGCAGGTGCCACCCTTGGAAACGGAGCACGGGACCGTCCAGCAGCAGGAGGGCCTGCGATGCTGAAGAGGGGCCAGGGCTTCTGTGTGCAAAACCTTCTGACGCAGACTCGGCTATGCTCTGCGCGGGGCCCTTGGCGTCCTTCAGCAGGAACGAACGTGGTCAATTCGCCCTCACCAAGAGAGGTCCTTCCGCCGAGGAGGCTGTTCACGCGCATCCCACGGCCAATTCCCAGGGAGCAGGAAGAGAGCAGACAGACTTGCCCTCTGGTCTCATGAGTGGAATCCACCAAGATTTCTGTAACTATACAGTCATGGGAAATCCTTGAACACAACACCACCCGGCCGTTGACGGAAAAGCAAGATAGGCATACATGGGACCGGCCCTACAGAAACCACCCTCCACGGAGAAACACGCACAGAGTCACAGGCAAAGTCAATCCCCTAACATATGCGCTGTGAGAAACAGGGACTCTGGTCCAGGGAACTCTCGCTATTTAGGTAACAGTGGAATTTGGCGGCATGGCCTCGTCCCAGGAGCAGCAGGGACTCGGTTGTCGAAGCCAGCTCTCGTGCTCAGATGTGCCCACAGAGACTGGCAGTGAGTGGGTTTGTTTCTGTTTTTAAAGTTTTATCAGGTTTGGGGATTACTGAAAGAGACACTAGGACCAAGACCCAATGGGTCAGTCTTAAGTAATATTTTCTCCTTGAAAATGATTTTTAGTGTATTTTCCTGACTCCTTCTTTCCTTTCTAGCTCCCAGCACAGTTTTTCTCCTCTAGATTTAGGGAAGCACTCAACATTGCACTCCCCAAAGACAACATATCTTCTGGGGAACCTGGTACCACCAGGTATCCAGAGAGGAAAACCAGGAGACAGACTGCTTCCGGAGCACGTTCCCTGGGATGGACTAACACCTAGGACTCCGACCCAAGTGCTCACAAATGTCCAGACAAGCCACTCTAATTCAGAACTGTGTGTCCCAAACGACATCTTAGAAATGTTTTTGTAATACTTTCTAGAAGTGTTAATATTTTCTCTGACAAATAATGTTGAAAAAAAAAAAAAGGTTCACAAAACACAAATGCCCTTACAGGAACATGCTCGGCAGGATAAGGTGACTGACCACACACGAGACGCTTCTCGTGAGATCCTAGCCCAAAAGCGTCACTTCTCAGACTGGGCGCGTCAAGAAAGCAAGCTCGGACTCGGATCCTCTGCTCTCGTGCTACTTCATTCTACAGAATGAATGGCGGTTCACACGATTTCTCAGAAATAATGACTAGCAGTGAAAACTGCAAAACTGGCTGGAATCTGCTCTCCTGAGTCTAGAACCGTGGGGAACCCGCCTTCCCTTCCCAGGGGGCTTGGGGAGGGGGCGGGACACAAGGCCCCCAGAGCAGCTTCCCCAAGCAGGCTGTGTCCTCCTCACGTCTCAGTCAGGTGCGGGAGGCTCCTGCGAACTGTGAAGCGGACCCCGTGGCTCAAGCCCGACTCCACTAGCCCCTCACCCACCTGCCCCTCCCCAACAGGGGCCCAGAGAAGAGGGACTGGAGCCCCAGCAGAGGCCTCGTCTGACACCCTAAGGCCAATGCAACATTAAACATCTCTCTCTATTTCCTCATGATTTTCAAATAATGGCCTTTCTTTGGGATAAATTCCTAAAGATAGACCTAAAGCGTACCAACGCTCACTTTCTTGTACTGAAAGATGTGTTGAACTCATTCTTTGAGCTTCTTATATTTAAAAGATTGCCCACGAAAGTAACTGTAGTCTCCGAATAGGCCCATCACCTCTGAGAATACACTGTACGATCACTGGTTCGATTTTTCTACTTCCCTTTGGAAACAGGATCGTGCTGCTGTGTGGACCTCGCTCCCCAGCAGAGCTCAGGGCCAGGGCGGCCCAATACTCCCTTGAGGAGACCAGACCCCCACGGTAGCGGAAGACCAACCCTTGCAACAAGAATTTTAGGGTTTGTCATGCAATCTTCTTTCTCAAGTGTTTCTAAGTGGTGCCCCAACTGTGAAAATAGGGTTGTACAACACCCAGTAATATATCTTCAGAGAAAAGACTGGGCCCCGAGGCAGCGGGACAGTCGGGGTGCGGGGACTGGACACGTGGCCTCCGGTGAGTCGCGTGAGCCCGTTGGGAGGATGGGGCTTGCCCGGAACCCCGCCTGCACCTGCACGCAGCTGTGTGGGAAAACCCGCCAACGTCGCCCACAGGGGGAGTTCACGGCACGGCAGGTGTGGGGGGTCGGCCTCCGGCCCTGCGCGGGGTCTCTCTCAGTGGAGTGCGCTCACCGAAGCGAAAGTAAAACAGCGGCCGGTTCCCCGCGGTGCTGGCCGCCCGCTCTCTGACCGCGGCTTCTCGGATGTCACACACCCCGATGTTGCCGGAGTGCAGCGCTCTTCCTGGGGCTCCTTCACTGTGCTGCAGTCTACACCGGACCACGGCAGCTCCGTTCGCTGCTGTAACAAGTTGAGAAAAACTAATTAATGCAAACTTTCGGTTTTTGGTTTTTTTTTTAAATTTGTTACAGCACTGAGCAGAGCTGCCGCCCCCATGCAGAACAGCACAAAGAACACCAAAGGACCACGCGACACGGGGCCACCCTCAACGCCCAGCCAGCACGGTCAGCCGCATCCTCCGCACCGTTGCGGCTCAACAGCGTCTCCCGGGGACGCACAGACCTGTTTCTGTTTCACTTCTGTTTGTTCGGTCCCAGAAACTAAAAGCCCACAATGTCAGGAGCCTACAGTCCGCCCCTGCAGCCCTCCTCAGAGACGTGGGGGCAGTCCCTGCAGGAAGGAATCACACGGACCGCCACGGAGTCTGCCATCAGCCTGGCAGTCCTGCTGGAAGACCGTCTGGTCATCTGCCCACATCTGCTCTGAAAGCCTTCCACACGTGGGTGTCCGCCAGCCAAAAATCAGACTCACTTTAAATTCACCAAATAGAACAGAGCTGCTTCCTTCCAGAAGCCAGGCAAAAGGGAAATCCAGTCCAACGGCTAAGTCAGGCCAACACAACAGGTCCACTTTCACCTTAACTTTCTCAAATATCAAGCAAAGAAAGAAAAATACACAAAATCAAAAACAAAACTACAAGCACAACAGAAACTCCACACATAAATTCAGTTCCCTGGATTGTGAGCTATGCGAACCACCCCACACCGTGCTAACGGAACACTAGCTAGGGGTGTCACAGGAGGGCAGAGGGACAGAGCGGGTCTGTGCGCCGTGCGCACCTGCAGACGTAAACCTCTCTACCAGAAACTCCTGAGCTGGGCTTGAAACAAGTCGTTTCAACAGTGGAAACTATAGAGTTCGGGAAGCACCTGTAAAATTTAGGTTGCTTTCCTTCTTCATTGAGGACTTGGGTCAGATTTAATCCATTCCTAAAACCTAGCAGATTCTCAGGGTCATCTCCAATTGAACTACGCTTCAATCAGAACTAAAGGGCCACAACTCCAGCCTGGGAGCATGTTTTCTCCTGAAATGTGCAGAATGCAGGTCAAGTGCACAGAGATTCTACAAACCTGCACCCAGGAAACACTTGAATGAGACAGACTTTGTACTTCAGGGAAGAATCCACAGCATTTTATGATCACGTTTCAGAACACAACCAACCTTTACCAAGTCAGAGCCCCATGTGGGGTACTCTAGGTTCTAGATCTGCCCCCTCATATGACAGCAACAAAAACCTTGGGTTAATTTAAACTAGAGTCAATGGCAATAATTTTTAATTCACTAAACCAAAAGTCATGTTTACATCTTAAGTGCTCTCATATTTGTTTATAATAAGCATTTTAGAGTAATCAAGGTATTCTTGCCTTCTGTAGATGAAATACCTATTAAGCTAGGCGCATTTACAGAAGAGTCCATGTGCCTCCTGGGTCCACAAAACATGTGCAATCACAGAGGAGTCCTGATGTGGCCAGCGCCACATCAGAAGTGTGACCTTTGTGCAGACTGGCCGTGAGAAAGGGTTTGCACTCAGCGGTTTCTCTTGCATGTTACACTGAACTCTTAAAATCAGATGCTTTATGTACTCATGGAGGGTACGTACTCGGAGGCTGGGGCAGGTAGGCTCCGATGAGTTTTGACCTCTTCTTTTCATACCCTTTTTGGGTGATGTCACCTGGAAGAGAAGGAAAGAGACATTCAGAATGGCCTCAGTGACAAGTGGGTCGCTCTTCAGATTGTAAGATGCCGCAAGTTACATCTTTTGTATCTTCTGTTTGCCTTTTAATTATAATTTAAAGAATGAAGGACCTCGTCATTCACCTTGGCCCTCCCCTGCCCTCAAATAGTCATTTAAGTTACATAAAAATCCTTGGTAGGCTCCTGCTTGTCCCAGCCCCTCCCTGCGGGGGTCTCGGCCCTCACAGGACCCAGAATTAGTCTGTGATCTTGTTCACACCAGCTGAGCAGAAAGCCTTCCAGTCTGCATGGCTCTCACTAGCTTAGCCGAAGGGACACTGCAGGCATCGATGCTGGGGACAGCCACCCAAACCGCTGCTGATCAGCATCTTCCTCCACTGACCAACCCCGCTGGGCAGTCCCAAGGACACCAAACTGCTCGGGTGTTTATGAAAATAAGTGACTCAGACCAAATGAAACATGAAATAAAGCAAGAGAATGTGGGAACTACAGAAATCCAAAGTATGTGAGCAAGGTGCTCATCCTTAAAGCAAAAATGGAAATGTTAAAGCCAGAGGTTCACACGCAGAAAAGCAAGGCGTATACACACTGACATTTTCCCCAAGTGCTCAGTACCTAGGACAAAGCAACCCATGGAACACACAACAGCCTTTTCTAATTTTAAGTGCTAATACACACAAAATGCTGGTTCTGCTCTTGAATATTTTGTAGTGTTTTTCCCCCCAATATTCTGATCAAACCATCATTCCCAGAAGAGCTAAACAGTCAAGTTTTAATAAAAATACAGCAGATTGGTGAATTTGCTTTTTCTGATGACATACGCTCACTAAATTTGAGCAAACCATAAAGCACCCTGAGTGTTTGCTGACTGACCCAACAAACTCACAGCTCCCACTGTGAGTCGTGTGTGCCCCATGAAACGCATACCTTGTTTTAAACAACAGAAGTCTGTGGAAAACATCCGTTCACCCTCCGGTGAACACGCACTACAGCTGGGCCCACACCCACCCTCAGCACCGAGGCTGCTTGGCTGCTTTTGGACATGCTCCATCCAATCCCCCATTTTATTTATTTATTTTTAAAGATTTTATTTATTTATTTGAGATACAGTGAGCAAGAGAGAGAGCACGAACAAGATGGGGGGGTCAGAGGGAGAAGCAGACTCCCCACTGAGCAGGGAGCCCAATGTGGGCTTGATCCCAGGACCCTGGGATCATAACCTGAGCCGAAGGCAGATGCTTAACCAACTGAGCCAGTCAGGCACCTCTCAAATTCCCTACTTTAAAAAGGTGCCTAAAATCTCAATAACCAAAAACCCCATGTGCACACACACTCTGGAGCGTGTTTGCAATTTCAGGAAAAAGGAGTAAGTTAGCGAATTAGGACACTGGCTGAGAAGTGTTGGTCACGGGTCACACCTTCTGATTCCTGCCCACGACCAGTACACCTCTTGTCATGTTAAAGACAAGAAAACATCTTTGAGGAAACAGCGTAAAACCAACCTGCAGAAGAAACACCACCGCGATAGGGAAGTGGTGTGGCTAGGGGGGACCACGCGGGGGAGGCGGGGTCAGGGGTCAGAGGTGGGGACAGCGAAGCTCCCAGTCCTGCTCAGAGGGAGGAACCCTCTACCCTTAGAGGACACGGCAGTAGACGCAGGAGGCTTCTCCCAGCCCCACGGACCCCGAGAAGCAGCTCCCCATGGGCTCCCTGCCTCTCACTCCGTAGGCTCTCCCCACTGCTCTCTGAGCACAGTGCCAGGGAGGAACCAGTTCATTTCCTGCTCCTTCACCCTCCGCAGCTCAGGGCCGCATTTCCCCAATTCAGAGCCTGTCTGCTCCCCGCAAGGGAGGGGCCGGGACATCAGGGCCGGGCAGAGGGGCACACAGGAGACGGCGGACCGTGGGGCCACAGCGGTCCTGAGCAGCCCCCTTCCCCGGCCATCCCCCGTCCTCCCAGCAGCTCTGCACAATTCCAGGCCCGAGTCCCAGCCTGGGTAAGCCAGCACCTTTCACGGTTTACACTGCACCCAAAATTCAGCTCATGTTTTAAAAATGTCTCAGATGGGGCACCTGGCTGGCTCAGTCAGTAGATTATGCGACTCTTAGAGTTTGAGCCCCATGTTGGACGTAGAGATTACTTTGAATGAATGAATAAATAAGGACTAGAAATACATTTGCAGGAGCACCTGGGTGGCTCAGTTGGTGAAGCGTCTGCCTTCAGCTCAGGTCATGATCCCGGGGTCCTGGGATCAAGCCTCGAGTCGGGCTCCCCTCTCAGGGGGGAGCCTGCTTCTCCCTCTCACTGTCCCTCTATGCACTCTCTTGCTCTCTCTCTCAAATAAAATCTTTAAAAAAGTCCCAGAGGAACATGTAAGTATGGGAGGAGGAGGTCCTCACTTAACTTTCGGCATAGGACAACCTCAAAGGAAACTCGGTTTTTACTGTCTTATTTCAGGAAGCTCCAATTATTAAGACCTTAGGCCTCAGGAAAACAAGTCCTTTCCTGGTGAAACCAGGACTGTCCGTGGAATCGGAAGAGGTCAGTGTCAGTCCCGCAAAGGCACGTCCACACAGTTCCCGGCCCCACGCGGAAAGGGCTTGGCAGCGGGAGGAGTCCCTGCTTCCGAGCGGGCGAGTCATGTTGGCCCCACTATGAAACCATGCTCAGAAGCAACCGGCTCACAGGGGATTTCCAGATACCACTCTCAGAGACCCCAGGTTGCTAACAGCTCTTAAAACCCACAAGTGTGGAAAGACAGACACTTTTTAATCGGTAACGTCATCTAAATCAGGGGTTGCCAACTACAAATGCAGTTTGAGGACTCTTTTTGCAAAGGAGGCTTGCCGGGCACATAGCTGCGTTCCCTCGTGTGCACCACAACCCGGACCACAGCGCCCACACAAGCTTCCAGCCAGTCTCATGACCCTGAATACCTTTAGTCCTGTGACAACAGGTTTCATGGGTAAGAAACAGACACCAATCGTGCTCATGTTTCTCGCCCAGGGCCCCAGATCTACGAAGAAAACACACTGACCAAATCTCAAATGACTTCCCATCAAAGCCACACCTGGAACCTTACACCCCGCAGACGTGGATGTGGTTGGTGACCCCGCCACCTGCCCAGGACATGCCCCCCGCGTCAGGGCCCTCCCAGCCTTGGGCTCCAGCCATGGCTGGGCTTTCCTCACGAGGCCTGGACGGCTGCTTACAGTTTGTCACATATTCGAGTGGCTTAGCCTCAAACCCAGGGCGTGAAGCCTTCACGGGCCAGCGTCCTGCAGAGCCGAGCCCCAGTCCCACTGGTTCACAAGCCTGCACTGAGCACGGATGTCACAGCGACTCCAGTAACCAGCCGGCCGGAGCCGCGTGCATCCGCAGGGCAAACAGAGGGTCACTGGAGGGGAATCCTCCATGATCCCGTGATTAACGTGTCTGGGACAACAGCTGGAGTGCGTGCTCCCCAAGACGATCCAGTGCCTGTGGCAAGGGGCCAGGGTCATTTGGGCACCCAAAGCATCACAGCTGAAAATGCCCTTGCTACTTTTCTCTTGCGTGGAGAAAGTCCATTATTTGCAACTCTGCAGCTACTTGAGCAACTGGTAGACAGCAGTCCCACGGATTAGTGGTAATGACCTCTCTCTGCAAATTTATATAAGCAGACTTTCTAGCCGGGGGCTCTTCCTTGGCCCTTGGTTCTGAAGCATCCAGTGATGATTTTTGTGCAGGTAGGTTGAGAAAGCAAGAGGAGATCAATGACTGATACATGGAAGAAAGATGGTGGGCAGAAGGAAAAAAGATGGTGGCACACACAGGATGGACCCAAGGGCTGGCTGTACACACAAGTCTGCCCTCCGGGACCGCTCCCTGGGCTCCGCCCCAGGCTCACCTACGGTCAGCGCCACCATGTCACCATGACAACACGGGTTCTCCATCATCTTCCATCAGTTCAGGCTGAAGGGCTGATCCAGGATCACCCCGGATCTGCAATGAGCACACAGCCTTCAGGGTAAAACTGTAAATCTGAGGCACAAGGCTGTCTGAGAGGAGCCATCCTCCCCGTCACGTGTCGAAGCGAGAGTTTATTTAACATCTGTGGTGCCCCAAGGACCGTGCCGCAGCTGACAGCAGGTTGGTGAATGCTCGCTCACCGCAGAAGCGAAAGACCATGTTAATGTCCCAGGACACCGACCACAGGACCCCGTGCTCGAGGATTTGCCACATACAACCCAAATGGTGTATTTCCATGCTTCTGAGCTCGAGACACCTGTCCACCTAACACCCTTTCATTTCAGGAGTAAGGACACAGGACAGAAAAGTGCAGAAATCATCTCTCTTCGGTGAGGAGAAAATAAAAGTGATCTTTTGAAATACTTTCCACTTTATCAAAAGTATTTAAATTATTATCCTTAAAGAAGCTCTTTAAGACTTAAAATTCAGCAGGAGACATTAAATTCATGTTTTCTGTTACAAAGAGAAAAGATTTGCAGACAAGTCTTAAATTTAAAAAATGAAAACCCAAGTAAATCAAAACCACCAATACACAGCTGAGTAACGCTGAGATCACTCTCCTGTTCCCCAAAGGAGGCATCCTCTTATTCATACCATAGCCCAGACTCCCAGACAAACCTCAAGTCCTAGAAAAGGGAAGGTCAAGCAAATGCCAGACTGAAGTGGACACCGCAGGGCCCCTGTCTGTCCGACTGGACCTCACTCCGTAAACTCGGGCCCCCCGGGGATCTGTGCAGAGCCACCCGCCCTGTGATGCCTGACCGAGATGGGAAAGCACGGACAGCCATGGGATCTCCAGGTGACCGGACGTGCCCCAGAGTGGACCGCATGCCACGAGCTACCTCCACGCTGGGATCATTCAGGGTAAACAGACCAGCCTAGCAGGATGCTTTCCATTCCTGGTGTCAGGACTATTTCTTCTTTTGAAGCTGGAACGAATGCTTTATGTAACAAAGCAATCATTCCCATGTTTGGAATTTCACGGCTGTCAGGAACCTTCCTAACGTCCCTCTAAGCTGATGGCTTTATAAGGTATAGGGAGTACCCTGGAAGGCACTCTCCCTCTGGCCCAGCTGCTGAAGGCGTGTTAGCCAGCTCTGTGCTGAGCTCTTCTTCAGGCAGAAGAGACTGTGACATCCGTACACGCACCCACCTGCTCAGGGAGCGGAAGCAGGTGGACCTGGGACCCTTCTGTCTGTGGCAACATGGCCTCATTGCTACCACTCTTTTGGGCCCATGGCCACGTCTTGTCTCACTAAGGGCAGGGAATGAGGGAAGACATATAAAAACTGTTGCGTCCAAGAAATGGTTCTTGGTCGTAACATGAGATACATCACCTGGAGGGAAATGCTTGGTGTCTCTGAGCCTCAGGAGTGCATCTCTGCAGGCGACTCCGGGCAAAGCAAACCGGCCACGTGCCCGGCCAGCTACTTCTCCAGACGGTCAGGCATGGTGATGCAAGCCCGCCGCTCCTCCTCCTTGAAGCGAGGAGCCGCACCGCCCTCCACATTCGGGTGGACTACAACACAGCACAGAGTCACCCTGACCTTCAGGAGACCCAGAATCTGACTGGAGCCGTGCTACTGCTCAGCAAGGACCCCCCGCCCCAACTGTGGCTCTCACCTGCACCCAATCTTGACCTCAGAACTTCGGAACACCACGCAAAGGGTCCAGGGTTTTATTCCCATTCCTTCATCCAGCAAATATTTATTAACACCTACGATGGGCCAGGCAATCAGTAGAGGGTAGTAAACAGCCCCACCACTAAATGTTTGCTCAATGAAAGATTAGGTAAATAACAGTTCTGTTTTCACTTTTGAAACTTTTTTTGTTTTAAAGATTTATTTATTTGACAGAGAGAGACAGCGAGAGAGGGAACACAGCAGGGGGAGTGGCAGAGGGAGAAGCAGGCTTCCCGTGGAGCAGGGAGCCCGATGCAGGGCTTGATCCCAGGACCCCGGGACCATGACCTGAGCTGAAGGCAGACGCCCAACGACTGAGCCACCCAGGCGCCCCTCACTTTTGAAACTTTTTTAAAGGTCAAAACAGGGGCATCTGGGTGGCTCCGCTGGGTTAAGCATCCAACTCTTGGTTTCAGCTCAGGTCATGATCTCAGGTCATAAGATCAAGCCATGTGTTGGGCTCCCTGCTCAGCTTGGAGTTGGCCTGAGATCCTCTCCCTCCGCCCCTCCCCGCCGTGTGTGTGCGCGTGCTCTCTCTCTCTCTCTCTCTCTCTCTCCCCCCCCGAAATAAATAAATAAATCTTTAAACAAACAAACAAAAAGTGAAAACAAAGTGGTGACTAAGTTAATGATTCCAATGACATTCTTCACTTGCCCCATCTGGCCAAGTAATGGAAAACAAACGAGAGACAGAGTTTGTTAGAAAGAGTGAGAATGGCTGAACAGGACCTCCCTCTTGTCGGTGTCAAGAGACAGAATGTGCCAAGATTTTTAAATCATTTTATCTTCAAATTATAAATATACATACATGTATACACATACATATATACAAACGTTTATTTATTTTAATCCTGTTTTCTAAAATAATGGTTCAGTTCTAAAAACGACTGCTGTTAATTTGAAGGATTTGGGGGGGTGGGAAGGAGAAAGAAGGGCAGATATACTGGAAGACACGTGATAGGCTAGTTATTTCAGATAATTTTATAGAATCATTATTTCTCTTTGTGAGACCAATGAGCTGTAGGAGTTCCTGCAGCAAACATGCTGAGGCTTCCTGTGTGCAAACTCATTTGCAAGCAAAGCCAAAAATACCGAGCTGTTGGGAATAAAACATCTGGATACATCTGGATAGTCCCGGCACATAATCCCGGCACATAGTATGTGGCAATTATTAAAAATACATGTTATTCACTGAGGCTGTTGGAATCAAGAAACCTCTGCTGGATATTTGAGTACACAGGTGTTTAAAGTTAATTTTTTAATCTTTACAAAGTAACATGTGTTGGCACTGTACATCCCAATCATAGAGGAAAAAGAAGCACAAAGAAAGAAAAAAACCCACTTCATATAAAATAAGAAAAAATAAGCAGTAACCAAAGTCTAAATCAAACTATAAAACTGGCTTGCACGTGGGGTCATGATGCAGGTTAGCTTGCAGAGCGAAGCAGCTCAGAGAAGCCAAGGGTCAGGGTGGAAAAGCACAAAAGTGAAATTATACTTCCCTTCCACACTTGCTACATGCCAGGCCGTGTTCCCCCGACCTGGCAACAGCAGAATACAAAACATAAAACCCTTGTCCCCATGGCACATGAATTCAAATTCTCCCACGGTAACAACTTCTCCATCATCCACATGCCATGCGTCAACCACCTGCATGTCAAGCTCCACCATTGCTAAAGACTGGTCACCACACAGTGAGATTATTAGGAGGGAAAATTTGGAAGGAAGCCTGCATGAATCTTGATTGCTAAATGAGCTAATATGAGATTTGGATGAACTGCACAAACCTACCATGAACTTTCAAGAGAGAGTAAAAAATACTTCCAACTGAACAAAAATGAAAAACAAAATGTGTGCAATATAGCCAAAGTAGTGATTAGTCGCACACTGACTGCATTAAAGGTTTCTATCTGAAAAGAAAGGTCTCAAGTCACTAATCTAAGCTTCGAGCTTAAGAAGATAGAAAAAAATATATATAAATAAACCCAAAACAAGTAAAAAGCAAAGAAATAATGAAAGCCAGAAATCAAAGAAATTAAAAACAAAAAAAGAAAAATGAGTCAAATCAAAAGCTTACATAGAAAATCCCAAGGAATCTACAAATTTTTTTTAAAGATTTTATTTATTTATTCATGAGAGACAGAGGAAAAGAAAGAGAGAGAGAGAGAAGCAGAGGGAGAAGCAGGCTCCCAAGGAGCAGGGAGCCCAAGGCGGGACTCGATCCCAGGACCCTGGGATCATGACCTGAGCCGAAGGCAGACGCTTAACCATCTGAGCCACCCAGGCGCCCAGGAATCTACAAAATTAACTTCTAGATTTATTAACTGACTTTAGCAAGGTCACGACATACAAAATCAAATCATATTACTATATACTAGCAACAAATATTTGGGACTAAAATTTTAAGAACATCTTACATTTACGTATCATTCACAGTCGTTACATAAACAAGAAGTATTTAGCTATAAATCTAACAAAACATGCAAAATGTGTATGGGATCTGTAGGATCATGGAGAACCTATATGCTGAGAAGTACAACATGGGGAAGAAAGAAATAAAAAAAGATCCATACAGATTGAGACACACGCCGTGTCCATGGAATGGAAAACTCAGCATAATAAAGATGTCAATACTCTCCAAATTAATGGATCGATTGGACGTGATCAAATTAAAATCCTAGCAGAATTTTTTTTTAGATATACACAAGCTAATTCTACAAGTTATATGAAAAGTCACAAGAGCTACAAGAGCAAAAAATTGATAGAGAATAAAGTTGGAGGATTCATACTACCTGATTTATCACAAAATTAACAATAATCGACACAATGTGGTATTGGCAAACAGACCTACAAATAGACACAAATATGACTAATTGCTTTTTGACAAAGGTGCAAAATGAATTAAATAGAGAAAGAAGAGTTTTCATCACGGTGCTGGAATAAATGGACATCTATATGTAAAAAAAAAAAAAAAAAAAAAATCAACCTAACACTCACAGCTTCTACAAAAGTTAACTCAAAATGGATACTAGATCTAAATGTAAAACAAAACTAAAATTTTAGAAGAGAACACAGGGGAAAATCGTCATGAGTTTGGGTTAGCAAAGAATAGAACCATGAAAAAAAAAAGTGGACTTTTTTAAAATTTAGAAATTTGTTCTGAAAAAGGCACTCCTAACAGAATAAAAACTAAGCTAGCGACCAGGAGAAAGTGT